GCCTTTCAACCAGCACCACATGTGATTATCGGCCAGGCTGGCACAATTAACTAACTCAGTAGTCATGGTAAGGATGGCTGCTATCAGAACTGGTAGGAAGGCTGGAGGGTAGAAGCACACCTGGTCCTTGCCTCACAGGAATCAGTTTTGGGCTGATGTGAAATTTGATTCTCTTTCCCTGAGGTGGTCAGATATTACCGTCCTGCCCTTTTTGACAGGTGAAAATTCATTCATTCATCAAACTGGTAATGTGCCAAATTTTGCTAGGAAAAATCTGAATTGATGAAAAGTGTGAAGTATAAAACATTTACTTAACAGTCAATGTCTATGTCAACCAATGGAAATCACAAATATTTGATTTACAAACAAGGACACACAAATAATACTTAACCTGAATATTTTTAAATACACAAACTAATCTACAAGCCCATTTTTCAAAATAAAGCTTCTAATTAGGATTCTAATATATTACTGTGATAACAAAAATTGTCATAATCAATTTGAAAAGCATGTTGGAGATATACGTCAAGAATCTTAAAATATGTTTATCTTAGCTGATACCAAGGGCTCAAATAGAAAGCAAATATTTAGCAAATGATGATGGCAACATATGTACAAATATGCTTGATACAATTGATTGTTATAAGAGCTGCAAGAGCCCCCAATAAAATGATCTTTTTTTTAAAAAAAAAAAAAGGAAAATAAAATGTTTATTTTCTTTGACTCAGTATTTCCATTCCTAATAAACATTCACTACTCACTGCCACTGAGTCAATGCCGAAACATAGCAACCCTCTGGGCAGGGTAGAACTGGGTTTTTCAAGACTGTAACTCTTTAAGGCATAGAAAGCTCCACCTTTCTCCCACAGAGCGACTGGCGGTTTCCAACTGCTGACCTTGAAGATCACAGTCCAATGTGTAACCACTATGCCACCAAGAATCCTTCCAATAAACACATATAGAGTAAATATTAAAAACATATGCAACTTAATAAATATGCTTAGCACAAGATATTAAAGAGTTTCAGTGTATACCAATGTATAACGATTAAATATGAAATCATTTTAAGTTAAAAAATGTTTAAAATATGTGAAATGGAAGTACCTAAATATAAAATGTGGTATTATTTCAGCCATAGGATTGATAAAAATATTATGTGCTGGTAAAAAGGATAACTTCCTAAAGAACAGCCACTGATAACATTAGAAAGATTTTATTTTCTTCCTCACACTATTTTTTTTCAGTAAAAAAATAATTGGCACATACTATCTACTAGAAGGAATTTTATAAAAAAATTTGACCCATGAAATTACAAGTTTTGAAAGGGCAGATTTTAATTAGTAGAATACCAGTGATTAAAAACATTTTAAACACAAAATATTCCTTTACTTTGGTTAACCATAAACGCACAAAACAGCTTTTAATTGGAGCATAAAGTTAAGCTATATTCATATATATATATGTTTATTATTCTTGTTTTTTACTTACAACATTTACTGTGGAGGCTACACATTTGGGCACGGCTGAAAGCACAGGGCATTATAAATATATGTTTTAATGTTAATTTTACGGACAACTGTGAATAATCACTTACTTAGCAATTAGGAGTCCTGGTGGTTTAGTGGGTTAAGCAATGGGCTGCCGAAGGAGACTGATGAGGCTACCTGCTCCCATACAGGTGTTTAGCTTCAGAAGTTTCCTCTACCCTACCGAGTCACTATGCTGAATAGGCTTGAAGGCAGTGGGTTCGATTTGGCAGCCATTTCCTTCAGATCAGCGTCTTCCAGACTCTAGTTTCTAGCTTAGAATCAGCCCAGTAGAGTGACATTCCCAGAGAGTAAACTCAGGAGGCAGGTCACAAACAGAATGCATTCATATATGAATGAGTCCCACCCTTAGCTCAGCTGCCAATAGGCCCTCCATTGTTGCTGTTGTTCAGATGTCGCTGAGGCAGTTGTGACCCACAGCGATCCTGTGCACAAGAGAATGAAATACCGCCATCTGTGCCATCCTCACAATTGTTCTTGTGTTTACGCCCACTGACGCAGCCACTGTGTCCATCCATCTTGCCTAATCAGTCAGGTAGTAATTTGAAATCACGGAGAACCCGGAATGTTCCACAAATGACACATCTTACCCACCAGAACTCTTCTCTGACTTGCAGACTAAAGGAAGTTATCTAGCTCCAAAGCCTGCTCTAAAGCCTGCCACCCAGAGTCACGATGAAGAAACACAGTACTAGCAGAGGATGCAAGTTAGTAAACACTGCACTACAGTCAGACCTCACACTGTGTTCCTGCTTTACCATCTCCTCTGAGTCAGTCACCATTTCTCTGAGCCTCAAGTCTGTTCAACCAAAAGTAACAATATGAAAGGACAAAGCTTAGCTAGCTGAATTATACCAAATGACTCTAAGGATCAAGAGGATCAAGGTGGGGCAATTTGAAAGTGCCCCTCAGTAGAGTCTTAAGCTTTAAGAGGTATTACTAGTATTAGTCATTCAACAAAATGCTGTTTCTAGTTGCCATTCATGGGCGACCCAATGAATGCAGACTGCTCTTGAGGATGTTCAAGGCCATGACCTCTCAGAAGCAGATCACAGGTTTATATCTTAAAGCATCTTTGAGTTGGCTTAAATCACAAACCTTTATGATGAGTAACCACTTGCACCACCAGGGTTGCCTGGAATTCAATATAAAACCAATTGTTTAGTATCTTTCTTCTTCTAATGAACTAGAACAGTGATTCTTAAGTAGTATATATTAGAACCTTCATCAATAAAATAAATTATGTACACATGGTACCAAAGCAATCACTAAGGTTAGATTCAATGAGTAGGAGATGAACCCTAGAACAACGTACTTTTTAGAAAGCACTACACTTGGATTCTGATGCACCCATAGTAGAGAAAGCAAACAAGCAGATGAGCTCAAATGTAAGTATATTGCCACTATTACTTCATTAGAAACATTTAGCCATTGCCACATTTCACATTTAAATTTTAAAATTTTGATTCAAAAGTTTTAACTGGAAAAAAAAGTTGACCCATAACTTTATTTCTATATGACATTTCTATGTTCATTTCTATGTGACGAGCTATCAGCTGAAAGTCTAGAGTGCCCCAAAAGCAAATGACTTAATTCCCACTGGGAAAAATCTTCTTTCTTCATACGAGTAGTGGTTTATTTTGAATGCCATGTTTTAAAAGTACTAAACCAAACGAGAAAATTTCTGATTGAGATGGGCTGATTTAAAGGAAGAACAGAAATACCACCCAATCACCTCAGAATTAGACTTGACTTCTTCTGTGGCAGGCTTAGATGCATCAAGAGTTGCAGTATCATTGCCGCAGTCAGACATACCTGAAAGCAAAATGTGTTAAGCACACATTAAACAATTTAGTTAAAAGAGCTGTATCACCTCACCAATATTATTACAAATATTCCACCACACAACTAACTTCTCTGTAGTCAAAATTTGCTTTATCATAATGATCTACAATTATCTATTGATTACAACAGTTAAACAATCTAACCAAACAAGTCAGGGAAAGTATGCAAAACGTAAAAATTCAGACTTCCAATTAAAAACAAGTATCATGAAATCCTTTTAGATGTGGGTCAGAAATGTAAAAGATTAGAGTGCCCACTTGATTTAAAAGAGATAAAGAGTGAAACCCAGAGATGCCTTAAACCAAAGTGTAGCTGGCAAGGCTTCTCTAAAGCCAAATGTACAGACTGGAGCGGAGCTGTTAGTGGTTTCTAACTACTGACCTTGCAGATCGTAGCCTAACTTGTAACCACTACACCACCAAGGCTCCTATGGTTTATCAAGAATTTGATAAAATTTTCTCAAAGGACACAGAATGATCACAGAGGCTAATTAGGAAGAAGCTGCAAGAAAAATGAAAATTGTATTTGTGAGAAAAAGGCCAGAAAAGCTGGACAAAGGAATTGTCTTTCATCATGACAACACACCTGCCTGCTCACTTTGGAGGGTAGGGCGTTTCATTAGGAAGCCTGACCCCACATGTCCCACGACAGCCTTGCTCTTGCCCCTTCAGACCTCTTTTTATTTTTTGGCTCCCAAATCTCAAAGGAACACAATTTGAGTCCTCCCAGTATGTCAAAACTGCCATTTTGATGTGGTCTAAATCAAAGAGTGTAGACATCTTTGGGGAAGGGTTGCACGGATGGAAACATGCTATAAAGCATCTATTATCAGAACAGTGTTGTACTGATACATGAAAAGGCTAACAGACCAGTGAAATAGAATGAACATTTTAGAATTAGACCCAAAGTATATAAGGAAATTCTGGTATATAGCAAACATGGCATCTCAAATTACCGAAGTAGAGGCAGACTTTATAATAAACGATGCTAGGAAAAGTAGGTAGTCATTTGAAAAACAAGAAATAGACCCATGTTTTATACCACAGACAAGAATAAACTCCAAATGGATTAAATTTCTTGCTATTAAAAATGAAGTATTAGAAAAATGAATAAAGAATTAGAAGAAAATAGAGGTAAATTCTTCTTTGATTTGATGAAGGAAATGACTTTCAACAATGGGTTCAAAATCCAGGGACAATAAAATAAATAATTGATAAATTTGATAAACAAAAAAAACCTTCTTCACAAGAAATAAATACTTTAAAGTCATACACAAATGAAAAATTAGGATGAAATACCCATAACATATGCCACCGACACAGGAGTGATACTCCTAATACACAGAGAACTCTTACAAACCTAAGGGAAATTAAAAACCAGATAGAAAGTAAAAAGACACAAACAGATAATGCTCAAAAGAAAACATGTTAAATGATCATCAAGCATGTACAGAAATGTTCAAACTCACTAATAACTAGAGAAATTAACTCCAAGATAGCATTTCTTACCTATTAGAGTTGAAAATTTTAATATATGATAAACACAATCTGTTGGTAAGGTTATAAAAGTAGACACTCTCATATAGTGCTATGCAAATACAAACTAGTACAACCATTCAGGAGGAATCTGATAATATCTAAATCAAGTTAAGCTAATAGTCCTGGTATAATGGTTATTGTCAGGATGCTAACCGCAAAGGTTGCGGTTTGAAACCACCGGCTACTCCCATGGAGAAAGGCAGGGGCTTTCTATTTTGTTAAAGCATTAGCAGGCTCAGAAACTCACAGGTGCAGGTCTACCTTGAGATTCGTTTGGGCTATTTAAACAAAAGGACATCTGCACTGAACTTTGGACCTAACATTTCCACCTCTGGTACTTTCTCTGGAAATACACCTCTAGCAATATAAAAATACATATATTTTATTACAGAATTCTTAAATTATAAAACTTTATGAACAACCTAAATGTCCACAGACAAGAAAGTGACTCCATAAACCATGAAACATCTATACAGTGGGACGTTACTGTGACTTTAAGAAAGGAGGAGGTCAATCTCTATGACATGTAATAATTTCCATGACACACTGTTAAGGGGGAAAGGCTAAGGCCAAATGAGGACCTATAGTCTATTACCTTCATGTATGCAATAGACAAGAGGCTACCCCGAAATGCCAGATTTTTTTCCCCATGGCTATGTATGAGGGGTTACTTCCCCCCAAAATGGAACAAAGTTCTGCTGTTTGGGGATCGTTCGTACTAAGCATTTTTTCCACTAGGAGAGCTTCAAGCAACTCTGCTCTGGGTTAGTGTACCCGTGGCACCGCCTGGAAGGTTCTCCTGGACACAATGAATTTTTTTCATTAAAACAGTTTTGCTACACTGTACCCTGACTGGTTCCTCTCCTCCCTGCAACCCTTCCATAAGGGGATGTCCAATTGCCTACAGATGGGCTTTGGGTCTCCATTCCGCAACCCCCCCCCCCCTTCATTCACAATGGTATAATCTTTTGTTCTGATGATGCCTGATACCTGATCCCTCTGACACCTCGTGATCACACAGGCTGGTGTGCTTCTTCCATGTGTGCTTTGTTGCTTCTGAGCTAGATGGCCGCTTGTTTACCTTCAAGCCTTTAAGACCCCAGACGTTACCTCTTTTGATAGCGGGCACCGTCAGCTTTCTTCACCACATTTACTTATGCACCCGCTTTGTCTTCAGTGATTATGTCAGGAAGGTGAGCATCATGGAATGCCAGTTTAATAGAAGAAAGTATTCTTGCATTGAGGGAGTACTTGAGTGGAGGCCCAATGTCAATCTGTTACCTTAATACTGAACGTATACATATATGCATATAGATTTATTTCTACATCCTCATAAATATATTTGCATATGTACATGCCTTTATTTAGACCTCTATATATGCCCTTTGCCTCCTAGTTCTTTCCTCTATTTCCTTTTACCTTCCTCTTGTCCCACTATCATGTTCAGTCTTCATTTGGGTTTCAGTAATTCCTCTCAGTTACATTACCCTTGGTCACGCCCTACCAGGCCTTCTACACCCTCCTCACCACTGATTTGGATCACTTGTTGTTCCCTTGTCTCTGGGTTTGTTAACACCACCCACTTCCTTTCCTCTCACCTCCCCCTCTCCCATCCCCCCCCCAACTGTCAGTCCCATTGTTTTCTCCTGCAGATTGTTCATCCCGCCTATCTTAATTAGACAGACCTGCGGAGATAATAACATGCACAAAAACAAGACAGAGCAACGATGCAACATACAACTTTCCTCTAGTTCCTGAATGCTTCCTACCCCCCACCCCAATCATGATCCCAATTCTACTTTACAAATCTGGCTAGACCAGGGGATGTACACTGGTACAGATAGGAACTGGAAACACAGGGAATCCAGGGCGGATGATCCCTTCAGGACCAGTGGTGAGGGTGGCGATGCCCGGGAGGATGGAGGGAGAGTGGGGTCAAGAAGGGGAACCAATTACAAGGATCTATATATAACCTCCTCCCTGGGGGACGGACAACAGAAAAGTGGGTGAAGGGAGACAGTGTAAGATATGACAAGCTAATAATTTATAAATTATCAAGGATTCATGAGGGAGTGGGGAGTGGGGAGGGAGGGGGAAAAATGAGGAGCTGATGCCAGGCTCATACAAACACTACTTTTGGGTAGCTGGGGAAACCTGTGCTGAAGTAAAAGGTGGGAAAGGCAGAGTTCTTCCTCACAACAGAATGTCAAATCAAAAGAAGGAAACAGAATCACCCTAAGGTACACACCAGATAAATGAAAACTGCAGGCGACTCACTGATGGATGTTAAAATTTTGAGGGGCTAGAGTTTAAGAAACTTTGCAGGTCTCAAAGTATCTCCCATAAAATGCTTAATGACATATATAGAAATTTGCAGTGAAAGAATTTTTTAATGTACAAACTCCTATCTGTTCAGGCAAAGACTGGTTACATATATAAGGGGGAAGTCAAAGAGTTCATGGAAAAATGAAATTAAAACAGTGGAATTTTCTCACAAATTTTTGAAGGTCCTTCCTATGTCTGTGGTTCCATAGGTTGGTTATAAAAGAGTTCAGAAATTCAAGCAGAAGAACGTGACATGAGGAGCACCACAGCACCTTATGGACAACACACAGAGCTCCTCTCTATGGTATACAAGTGAAGGCATTGTTCAGCATATACCAAGGGGCTTCGTGAAGTTCATGGAGAGATCCCATTATCTTTTCAATCCATTTTCCCCTCATAATGATAGAGTACATGTATATAATTGTATATAATTATGACCTATAATATACGTCTTGATAATCATGATAAATGCCCATGATATTGTATTAGCTATGCATGAACTATTCCATACTTACTAAAAGTTTACCACATAACAATATATGCTTTGGCTCAAAAGCAGAGACATACAATTTTTTGTATTGTGCTCCTCTTTAAGGTTGTAGTTTAATTTAAAAAAAAATATTACCATGACGTCCATCATAGCTCCCAAGCTCAGCAAAGCCCAGCACTAGTGATACCAGTAGCAAGAGTCAGAGAAGTATCGGTTTGGAAGTGAAATAAGGGCTAATAAATACCAGGAAAGTGGAAAACTCAGTAAATGTTACTGGTTGGAATTTAGGCATGTCACACACAACAACCAAGATGCTCCTCAAAAATAAAAACCTCTCCAAGCTGTTAAAGGATCAGCTCCCCTGAATTTAACAAGGCTAATGAAAACCAGAGAGGGAGACACTGCTATTGATGTGAATTGAGGACCAAACACAAAAGTGAATCCCTATCCACTTGCTGTTAACGGATCACTGTTAAAACATGACAATTGTTCGAGATGTTTAAAGGAAAAGTATGATTAGACTCCAGTATAGTGTTAGCACAAGCCCAACCTATCTCATCGACTGCATCCTGAACTTTAAGTGATGCCCAAGTGGACTGAAGCCCTGCTGGCACG